TCCCCCAAACATTTTCTCATTGATTACATTTTGACAGACAGTATATACTTTGGCCCATTTACCAAATTTACCAAGTTTTTACCAAGTTCTTCAGTGGCTGTCTCTCCTCTCTCTCTCCTGTATATTCCTACAAAAAAACATTTTGGAGAGTGTTCAGGATTTGCTTGCAGAAAAGGTGGCAACCCTAACTTCAGCCCTGGGACCTAAAACAGGGTACAAAGCCTTATTTTAGAGTTCCTATCCCCAGAGGTAAAGTACTAGCTTAGGGGTTAGTCACACCATGTGCAGAGATCTGCATGACTCCGCACCTGACCAACGCAGCTCTCCCCAAGGGCACATAGAAACAATTGTTTTATATGTGCCCTGTTAACACCACAAAGAGGTGGAGAGGTGCAGAAAGATGCAGCTCACTTGATGTTTCCGTCTGACCACCAATTTCTTTGTATCGCAGCTCCGCTGTATAAATTACAAGCTCTTCAGGGGTTGGTGAACTGACCGGACTTTGGAGCCTCAGTAGAGTGACTGGAAGGTTGTGTCATACAGGTCATCCCCTGCAATGTTCTGCAAGACAAACTGACAAAAGTGAATGGAAAACATAGAAATATACATGAAGGCTGCTAGGAAATACACCCCTGCATGCATATAGGCACACAGCGTTTGCAGCTTGTTGGAACATTCGTAAGATTGATGCTGCAGAGTTCCTCACCTCTGATCACAACCCAAGGACTACTTCATCATATCATTCTTAAGTACATCACATCTCTAGAGATAATCAGATAGTGGGTGCACAATTTATTATTATTGATCTGTATATTGGTGCCTGTGGTGTTATGCAACATCATTTATCAAGGGTAATAGCATTGTAACAAGCAAAACCAGTGAATAGGCAGACTGGAGTTTTATGTAGTTCAAATTATGGTATTAATCCTAATAGGAATGCAGGCTGTTCCTGTAATCAAACTGCTACAAATAATGCTGCAGTTTGCTAAAAGCTCACTGGCAGCTTGTTTAACGTTACAGCTGGCACATCCAAACTGAAGGGAACTTCAAAGGCTTTCAAAAAGCTGCTTGAAGCTTGCTGAAAACATTGCAAATGTATTGTAAAAGTGTGGCAAGGTAATTCTTCATGTTCTGTCCCCTGACCCGGGAGTTTTGCTTCAGTGTCTAGAGGCTCATTGTCGTCTTTGGCTGCTCTCCCAGCTGGATTTTGCACTTTTTTTTTTTAATGAAGACATCTGTTGGGACTGTGGTTTGGCCTAACAATGGTCAACCCACCACAGATGGTGAAATGTTTAACTATGCTTTTCGAGGACAGGAATTAGGAATTCTAGTTTTTGGACATTTATGTACTCCCCTGCAGAGCCACTTTGGATCTCATGTTGCATCCTGTGATAGCGGTATATGTTATATGTTTCGCCATCAAGTATTTGTGAATTGAGTTGCAGTGTAGTAAACCTGTGTTAACTTCAACATCCAAAAAAGGACAGCAGAAAATGCATTTAAATAACACATGGTTGTATAGTAATAATTCAGTTTATTAACCTTTCCACAGTAAAGGTAATAGTATTAAAAGATGTTGTATTTAAAAATAATATTTAAAAGTATTTAATATATCTACATAGTATGGAGGGTGTATTTTTTCCAGACTGCCTATTACCTTATTTCCATAAGCATATGGAATGGCCCAATCTACACGTAAATGAATAAAAAAAAGATTTTAAAAAGGTAACTCATGTTAACATTATTATTTACATTGACTTGTTGCATTTACATACACATGTTACAAAAAATAGTCAATCATTTTCCTGTAAGTAATTCTCCAAGTTTAAAAATAGTGCATCCGAAGTTAATAGACATCTTCTGGTTTCACAGGTCCAGGAAGTGGAATAATGGACTTCTTTTCTATGTCTCTTGATAGAGCTTTCCTCATATCTGTAAAAATGCATACAGTTTAAATTTGATAATTATTAAGAAACACTGCTTACTTCTTAACATGAAGGCTATAAAATGTAAGCATGTGCAGTATAAAGATTTAAAGTGTATTTACACTTTTGCAGTAAGATTTTAGAAGGCCACCTCTACATGTTTGTTATGTGCTCCTAGTCACACAGCATAATGAGAAAGAACTTTTCAGAAAATATTTCTTACCTTTTAGATGTGCCTGTGTAACAGGCCTTCGCGACTTTACCTCTCAATTTCCAAGTGACGGGAGACTTTGTTTGTCCCCATAGAAAGACTAAGGACAGACTAAGGGGTCTATTCACGAAGCTGCCGAAGGATCTAGCCGTAGCTTCGCCTGATCCTTCGGCTAGCTGCGGCCTCAGGACCCCTTCGGTTCAGTAGAACCGAAGGGGTGCTGTACGGGCTATTCACTATAGCCCGTACAGCTCCCAAACGTGGCCGAGCGGCTCAGTCGAGCCGAACGCATATGCATCGGCTCGGCTGAGGCGCGCTGAAAGCTGAAGGCCACTTGTAGAGAGATCAGCGTCCCTGGTTACCTGCTAACCAGGGACACTGATCTCCAGACAGCAAACTCTCCCTGGCGCCCCGGGAGTCTCCTGCTCCCGGCCGCCAAGGAGAGAAACACTGCTGTTTCTTTTTTTTTCTTTATTCTGACACAGAGCGATGTCAGAATATAAAAAATAATTCCCATTGGAATGCATTGCTACATTCCTATTGGCTATTTCAATTTGGAATAGCCAATAGTAAACTAGCATTGTACCCGCCCTCTGCTGCAGTTCTCCATCAGGTCCATCAGCAGAGGGCGGGTACATTGCTAGTTTACTATTGACTATTGCAAATTGAAATAGCCAATAGGAATGTAGCAATGCATTCCAATGGGATAAAATGTATTTAAATGTTTTTTGTATTCTGACATCGCTCCGTGTCAGAATAACGAAAAAAAAGAAAAAGCATTGGTTCTCTCCTGGGCGGCCGGGAGCGGGAGGCTCCCAGAGCGCCCGGGAGAGTTTTTTGTTTTTTTTTCACGGTAGCAGAGCCGCTGGACATTAGGAAACTATTGGGCGGAGCTAGCTGTCATTGCTAGCTCTGCACAATCATTTTCTATTTACTTTTTTAAAAACTTTTTTAACAATTTTTCTGTTCTGCTCGGTCCCTTTAAGGGAGCGAGCAGAACAGCCGAGCCGAATGCCGCTCAGCAGCATTCGGCTATACACTCACTGCTGTTCGGCATTTGCACTTCGGGTCGGCCGAACATGCTGAGCATGTTCGGCCGACCCGAAGCCATGTGAAGCAAGCTGATGTACGGCTAATTTCAGCCGATGTATGGCTGAAATCAGCCGTACCAGCCTGAAGTGAATAGCCGAACAGTGTTCGGCTCACTTCACTTGGGGTCGGTTGTTCACTTGGCTGCCCTCGGCAGCTTAATGAATAGACCCGTAGATTTCCTCTGATTAACATATAATGCTTCTAGATCTTTAACCCTTTGTTATTATTAACCTGCACTGTCCATGTAATGTAAAACTCATTACAGAGAACTACTTTTCTTTCAGAATTGAGCATATATTGTGCAAACAGCCATTTCATTTTTTTTTTATTATCCATGAAGGACATTTCCCAATATTAAGTTTAATCTTCTAATAATGTTTTCATTGTTTTTAAGGTCATATAATGTTTTATTCATTTATATTGACAAAAATGTGAAAAATATATTTATGTAAAAAATATCTTTATTTTTTTCATATTCATAACAAATTATTTTCTTTAAATACTGTCAATGCTATTAATTACAGTATTAAACAGAAGCCACCTCTTTTTGATAAAGAACCTTCGGCCTCCATGTGATCACCGTGATTGGTTGCCATTGATTGGCCACACCAAACACTGTTTCATTCATTAGTAAAGATCTCCAGTGATGGCATAGTCTGTCTGCTAGCAGAGTGCAATGTGTGTATTTCTAGCTCTCAAATGAGGAGAGTAGCTGAACTCCAGAGATAAAAAAATAATGCCCTTGCAATGGGGCTCCTCCCACACTACAAGGGTTAATTACTTGTTTATGCCTAGGGTACCAGAAAAAAGTATTGTTACTTACCTAATTCCTTGCTCCACCAGGCTCCCCCTGCACTAAAGGAACGTCCCCCTGAAGGTTCTCTGTTGGTCTCAGGCACTCTGATGTCATCAAGTACAACGCAGAGCCATTAGTCCTGCATTGTATGCAAGGATGCTGAGGGACCACCCACACCCAGGAGTGTCAGGGAGAACGGTTGTAGATCGATGGAGGAGCCCTCCACACACCTCACAGCGGTCCCGGCCAAAGCAAAGTGGTGCTCGTAATGATAACCACGGATGGCGCCATGCAAACACAGAACACAAATGCAAATCACCAGCACTCAATAATAAAGATGAATATGTCCTTTTAATGGACAAAACGTCACAGTGACGCCAAAGAGCCGACGTTTCGGGGTCGCGCAGGGTCCCTTCCTCAAGGCAGAAAGACGGTTGAGCGCCAACCTCTGGAGGAGTGAGAAATTAGGTAAGTAAGCATCAATTTTCCTGGTAGCCTAGGCATAAAAGGGTGTTTAACCTTGTGGTGCAGGAGGAGCTTCACTGCAAGGGTATATTTCTTTGTTTTCCCTGAAGTTCAGCTTTGATGTTCCCATGGCACAGGGACACAGGACTTGAACATTAATCCACAGGTTCTTTGTATTGCAAATAAACATTTAATAGATTATACAGGATCCTCCAAAGCACTATAGGTCATCTAATGAGGTGGCACAGCAGTTTGTTTAGCATTTTCTTGTGTTGGATAGAAACCTAAGACTCAGCTGTATAAGGGAGGAGTCACTGCTCTGATTACTCACTTGAGTTCTGAAAACAATGGGCTTCTTCAGCTCAGTTAAAAAGTACTCATGCCAATGATGTGAAAATAAGACAAGAGCTCCACCTACTGGCTATAGCGAGAATTATATAATATAACTTTGTAGTATTTTATATATACCAAACTAACTATTTTTATTTCTGTCTGTAATAATGAAAATTTGTTTTACAAAATTACTATACGTTTCCTTTAAACATATTTTTTTTCTCCTTGTCGTTATTACTTACCATATGCATCTTCATCTGGCTCACCACTGCTGGTTGAATAGTACTTGATTACTGTTCGGTAAACACTATATCCCAGCTGTTTATATGTGTTAAATGCGACCTGATTTGAGACTCTTACAAAGAGATCTACAAAAAATCCTCCTTTCCTGCAGAGGAAGAAGCATAGCAGAAGTTTGGAGTGCAGTAGAGATAAAACACTTTATTATAGTGATAAAGTCATAATCACCTCTCAGAAATCTCTTCCAGAAGTTCCATTAGTTTGGCAGCTAAGCCCAGGCGCCGGAATTCTGGTGCCACAGATACTGCAGTGACGTGTCCATGCCACTCTTCTCGAGCCATAGAGCCCTCTGCTTTCCCCATTACTGCAAAGCAAACATTTATGTAATATAGATATTTATACAAACCCTTCAACATGACCCCTGCAGGAAGTACAAAATACTCTACAACTGATCACCTCTCTACCTTCCTAATTACAGTCTCCTGAGCCGGGTCAATGAACTCCTGCAAATGTATTTAGAAGTTAAAACATATAGATATATAGTTGTCAGGTTACTGTCTGTGATTCTTGTCTCCCAGGTTTTGTCCCTGAAATTGTGTCTGGTTAAAAAAAACATTTTTGAGGGGGAGGTAGTCCTAGTGGAAGGGACAGGTTTCTGTTATAAAGACAATATTTGACGCCTTTGGAGGTGGCCTGAAGTCAAAGGAAAGTACGCCAATAGCATACTTTACTAACTGTCCCTCAATTAGAGGGATTGTGCCTCATTTGGAACCAAATACCTCTGTCCCTCTTTCCTCCTCAGTTGTTCCTATTTTTGGTCTGGGGCATGAAAGTGTACTACTTAACTACCAAAATTGTTATTCTGCGCTAAAATCTTTATCTTGTCTCTTAATTATCTTGTTTAGTATTTTGAAAAAACTAGGGTTGCACCAATATATCGGCCCCCGAAACGTATCGTTCGAAAATGACACTTTTGGAGTAATGCCGAAAGTGCCATGTTTCGGCCAATACATCGTCGCATCCCTGCTTTCTCTCCTCCCCGTGTGTGTCCCAGCGGGGAAGAGAGAAAGTGTCACAGGCGGCCGAGCGCTGCGGTAGGAGAGCGCTGTCAACGGCCGGTGTCTCTCCTCCCACACCGCTCGGCCGCCTATCACAGTCCGGCAGAGCGGTGTGTGGGCGGAGACAGGCCGCGCTGTCACAGAAGGCTGAGCTCTCCCTGCACCGCTCGATCAGCCTCCTGTGACAGTGTGTGTCAGAGAGGAGAGCAGGCTACAAACACTCAGCGATCAGTGATCGCTGAGTGTTTGTACATAATTGAGGCTATGGTATGTGTACTATATCCTCAATTATGAATGAATGGGAGTGATCTACATCCCCTCCTGTTCATTCATAGTTGTAGTTATAGTAAACATACCATATCCTCATGTTATCAATGAACAGAAACACTCATAGAGGATTCCTGTTCATTGATAACAGGGGATACAGAAAAAGAGATAGAGGACTTTGTGTCCTAAATCTCTTTTTCTATTTTAAAAGGGAAATATCAGGGGTCTGTTTAGACCCCCAATACTTCCCCGAAACCCCTAAAAGTAAAGTAAAAAATTAAAATATTTATAAAAAATGAATTAATAAATACAAATAAATATAAAAAAAATAAAAAGTTTATAAAAAAAGTAATAAAATATTTTAAAAATGTGAAAAAATTTAAATAAAAAACATTTTCGGTATCGGTTTCGGTTTCGGCCTGACAGTTTTTTTTATTTCGGTTTTGTTTCGGTTTTAAAATTTCCATTTCGGTGCACCTCTAGAAAAAACAGTATAATGGAAAAGTAACAGAGAAAAAAACAGTTTTGGTCTTAACCAATCATTTTTGGCATACAAAATTCTTAATGGTCTCCATAACTGGGGACGTTGCAGGGTGTGCCCATTGCTTAAAGACATTATGCTGGAAGGTGTCCCTCTTTTTAATCTAAAAAAGATGGGAAGTATACGAATAGCAGTTTCAGCTATCTGATCTGGCACAGGGAAGTTGCCACTGAGGAGCTTTATGGTTGCACGCTTAAAACGGAACTTTACCCTTATCTTTTAAATGACAACAAATACACCTTTAGAAATATTTAGTAATGACAATCTACAAACAGATACTTTTAAATAATTGCCTGCTTTTAATTCTTTGCATACTTTATTTTTCTTTTCCTCCCCAGTCTTCTTACAGTGGCCATTTTTTACTAAGGGCAGATTAATATAGCTCACTTTACTTCCTGGAACTCTGGCACATGTGACTAGGACATGTGACCACACATCAGGGGAGATCTTGTGAGATTTCCCAGCAATGCACTGCTGATGTAACCTTCCTAGGATGCAACACTTGGCCACATTACATCACTAATTTATTCATTTATTATTGGTATTTTATGGTATTGATATTTATATACTGTAGCTCTGACAATGTATGCAGTGCTTTACATAGTTGCACATTCACATCAGCCCCTGCCCTCATGGAGCTTACAATCACCTACCCCACATGCATACATGCAGGGCCAATTTAGACAGGAGCCAATTAACCTTCCATCATGTTTTTTGGAGTACCCGGAGAACATGCAAACTCCTTGCAGAGAGTGACCTGGCTGGGATTTGAACCAGGGACCCTGAGTGATGCAAGGCAGAAGCGTTAACCTGTAAATCACTACTGATGCCCAAGAGGACCAGGAAATGGAAAATCAACAATTGTAAGTAAAAGAGAAATATGTTTGGTTTACTATGCAATGCAAGATTACTTTACAACAGCATGCAAAGTTGCATGCTGATATGATTTTTAGTGAAAGGGGGTAAAGGTTTACTTTAAGGAAGCAAGCTTCATGCAACCTCCTGTAAGTAAGCACTGCATTATTGCTGTGCCTTAAGATTGAAAACTATAAGTGTCTTGTTGTATGGTGTTGACTTTTGGAAAATAATGATTGTAACAGCTGATTACTCTTCATAAAAACTCTTAAAGGAGAAGTCATGTTGCCTGTTCCCTTTAAAATCTTTGCCAAACGGTAAGCCACACATCAGCATTTTCACATAACAGTGAGTAAGCCACATGCCTCGTCATATTCTGAAGCTTGGTGGCAGCTTGGTGGGGCAAGTAAGGTGAACAAAAATACAGGTTTACTTTAAGAAGCCAGCAGGTTCAACCCACCAGACAATAACTGTAACATTTTGATTTCAGCATGCCAAGGGACTGCTTATAACTTAGTTAAAGTGACATTAAAGTCTAAACTCCTCCCCCCAATGCTTCTTTAAGGACTTACCTTAAATGATGCCTCTTGATCCGATCATCTTCTTCTTTCCAGTAGTTTTCAGGAGTCCCCCCAGCGCTGATGCTGATCTCTGATCCAGCGCTGACTGCTGTGTCTTCCTGTCTGCTGGGCTGCCTGCATTGACTTACCCTGTGTCTCTCCTCTTCTCCCGACCGAACGAAGATCTCTAGTGCGCATGCGCCCACCCCATGATCCTTTGTGGCCGCCCAAGAATCTTCAGATCTTTGGACTGGAGCGCGCAGCGGAGACACAGGTAAGTTTTAACCTTTTTGGTAACTTTTTTAAAAATGTTTTTGCATATATCTACTGCTTGCTACCAGTAGATATATGCAAAAAAACGCAATGGTTTAATTGTTCTTTAACACCATTATCATTCATGACTCATGAATTTGTACTTGCTACTAATCAAGTCACTTTGACTTCACAATCACAAATTAAACAAGTACTTACTGTAGCCCATAGGTTCTCCTCCAGGGGCCTCTGCAATGATGCAGTACTCTGGCCAGTGTGACAGATACTCTAAATAGAAAGGAATCCTATACTGGTATTTTTTATTAAGGAAAATAAACATTTTCTTACAAAATGAAGTAATTATAATCCCCTAAACATTAAGGTTCTTTACACTGCATTCTCTGTAATTTATAATGAATAGAACCATTGTGCAAGAATTTCAGGAAGGATACAGTTTCAGTGAGGGGATCCAAGTTTCTGTGGAAATAAAAGGGAAAAAAAATAACTTATACAGATGGTATGTTAAAAATGAGCCAAGTGAACTGCTAAAAATATATACACATGCTTCTTATAAATGGAGCAGAACCCCTGACCATACATTAAGAGTAGGGAGCTAGTGAAGTGCCAAAGGCTCATTTAAAAGGTCTGTTATTCAGTCTTGCACAGTTGTACAGCTCCTCCCCTGTACTAAAATAGCTTACTCTGATTCCACTGCACACTGAGAACTTTTCACATTGTGCATTACAAGCTGCAACAAGTCTGATAGAGCACACTTTATTTCCTGGCTGGAGGATGTCCAGCATCATCTAATGCAGGGGTCTCAAACTCAATTCACTTGGGGCCACTGGACAATTTTTTTTTCTCCCATGGGAGCCTCTTGTCAAATTTCACACTTCAAAATAAAATGTAACTACTGTATATACTATACCAGTGTACATGCCTGCGTGTGTTTCTAATGTCAGTATGTATTCCCTTCTTAGATAGTTGTCACCAGAAAAGGTGTCCCCATTTAAGGATTTCCCTTTACCTCCTGTTTCTATGACAACTTTAGATTTAGATTTAACATCACTTTCTATACCACAGACAATGATAACCATGGCCAATAGAGAGGATCAATCTTCCCAGGAAGGACATAGGTAGTAATAAAACAAGACAAAGGTCCTGATCCTTCCACATTCTATCCAAAACTACAAAAAAGGTATAGGCTTTACATACATATAAGTCACAGACTGGAGAAAACATAAATGGACTAGTTTGCACTGTATACAGTTGGGTGTGGGTCTGCTAAATTGAATTGTCTTCCTTTTGAGTTTTTACATATTTCACCAATATGTAATTTATTGTTGCATTATATGTGCATGAGGAACTTGGCACTTTCACATGTATTGCAGGATTACCTTACTACTAGATGTATTTTACTATTATCTTTAAAGCCTAATTTAGTTTTCCAGTTCCGCTACACACGCTTCACAGGGGTGGGCTTTCGTCGACGTGATTGCATATACTTGTAACCACGTTGACCTAAGTGGGGTGACTGCTTAAATTTAGTTCTGTTGGACTGTATCCAGTTTTACAAATTTATAGTCTGTGCTCATTTGGTTTCCCCTAAGCTCTGTTAACGTTTGTATCTGTCTGCTGCTGAGTGTGACCTTACCACAGAGCAGAGCATCCAATAATGCGTTATGAATAGGTGTGTCCCTCTAGCCAATCACTAGTTCATGGCCAATGGTGCATGCTGGGAGAGGACATAAATATTAAGGGCTCAAAGAAAAAAGAAGAAAGAAAAAAGGAAAATGCACACAATTTTTTCTTGGCCCTACTACGGGTACAAGGAACATAAAATGTACAAATATGTGGCATCGCTTTAAACATCAGGAGTAGGAGACATTTTTTTGGAGTTTTTTGGTGGTGTGTCATGGTAATGGAAAAAATACAGCTCCAGCATAAGCTATTTATTTTTACTATTTTGGGTTTTCCTTTGATGATAAAAATGGAGATTAAAAAAAAAAAAAAAAAATGGAGATATCTATTACTATTTACCACACATGATTCGTCCTGAACAAAACAAGATATGTCACCTGGATATACAAAGTAGTTGCAAAGATATCTACAATGTTAATAACACAAAGCAAAATTGCAAACATGGGCTCAGGCATTATCATTTACTTTTACCCTCCATCACTAAGGGGTTAAAAGAGAACTAAAGCCAAAACTTTGTTGTGGCCTTAGTTCTCTTTTGGGCCACATGAGTACATTTACTAATGTCTTCCTGTGATTCAAAACTCAGCAAATAGCGGCCTATTGCCAACTATATTCTGACAGCATAGAGCCATCCTGACAATATTGTTGAGATCCACCCCACTGCCTTATTGACAGCTGGTTCTGCCTCTCTAGAGCTAGAGCCAGCTGTGTCCGCCCCCTACCCCAATCTGTCCCTCCAATGAGCGCTGGAGGAATAGAGAGAGAGGGGAGTGGGAACCCCTGTGGGCAGTAGTGACTGACAGTCACTGTTCTCTTCATGGAGAAGACAGTGAGCTGCGTGATCAGTGGTTTGTGATCCACCAGTTCTCAAACTACCCTGTTTTCCCGAAAATAAGACCTACCCCGAAAATAAGACCTAGTACTATTTTTGGGAATTGCTAAAATATAAGACCCTGAAAATAAGACCTAGTTGTGACCATTCCCAGGGCCGGTAGCGGCATAAGGGGGAACTTGAAGAGAGGCGGGAGAGAATCAGCGGTGCCAACGAAGCCAGCGCTAGAGGAAGCGAGGCGGCACCGGAGGGAGCAGAGCCGCATAAGCCCAATGCCTCCTTAATAGCACTGGCTCCTGTCACAGTCGGAGTGATACCAAATGCACTCCGCCTGTGAGGAATCAATAGTGAAAGTGCGCTTCGCTCATTCTGGCCAGCGATTGGTTAGCAAATTGCTCTTGGAAAGGTACAGCGCCCTTGATTGCCCTGATCACCATAATTTTGTACATGAATACATGTAGACTGTTGTACATGAATAAGTGTGGATTGTTGTACATAAAAAAAAAAAAAAATAAGACCTACCCCGATAATAAGACCTAGTGTGTTTTTATTGAGCAAAAAAAAAAATAAGACAGTGTCTTATTATCGGGGAAACACGGTATAGAGCCGGCATGTGGCAGTTGCAGTGTCACCCGCCAGCTCAAACTATTGAGAAAAGTATATTTTCCTCTCCCAATACTTCTTCTTTAAATGGCAAAGTCTTGTATGCTTATTTCTGCTATGCCATCTATAAACAGCATAACAGAAATCAGCCTCAAGTGGGCAGTGCGCCTGCTAATGGCTGTGAACTAAGCCATCCTTGAAAGACTTAGTTCACAGACACCGTGGACACAGTCAATCTGAGTGTCTCTGTACCACGTGATTGCTGTCATGACCAATCACAGTGATCACAAATGTACACAGTGTAGTGTGTGCAGCGTCTGGGCTGGTCTGGAGTTTTAAGATAATACAGAAACAGGGATCACACTAAAACTGTAAGTCCAGTTTACTTTTTTAGTACATGTAAATATATTTTGTGTGTGCAATAGTTATAAAATGTTTTCACTTACAGTTGTGCTGCTAACGGCAAGATAAACACATTCAAATAATTAGTGAGTTTAACTTATTATTAGCAGTACAACTATGAGTACAAAAACTGAAATTTGCTAATACCATGGTGCACTATTGTTCAATGGCACTCGGTTGTCTGATGGTTGCAAAAATGGCACTCGGTGTGTAAAAGGTTGCTGACCCCTGGTGTAGTGCATACATTGGTAAGCCCCTCCCTCCTCTTACAAGAGAAAGGAAAGGAAAGGAAAGGAAAGAAGTACTAGTAAATTAATGAATTAATTCATTTATTAGTTCCAAATCAGCAAAAGCAGCCGCAGAGGTTGTGGGATCATTGCTAACCCTTTCACCCCCTCCTCGCCTGTATATTTAATCTCCATGCTGCTTCTGCAGTGACCTGTATAGTAACCCTTTCACCTTCCTTATCCTGCACAACTCTACAATAATATCTTTATCTCCATCCCCCCCACTGTATGTAATCTGTACATTAACCCCTTCACCTCCTCCTCCCTTTGTGTTTGGCCTGTACATTGAGGGCAGAGGTAGGCAACTCCTGCCCACCAGCTGTTGTGGTACTGCAAGTCCCATGAGGCACTTGCAAGCCTGACAGTTACAGGCATGACTCCCAGAGGCATGTTGGGATTTACAGTTAAAGCACAGCTGGAGGGCTGGAGTTGCCCAACCCTGATTTAGGGAGTTTATTTACAAATCTATCACCTATAATCCTCAGTGCCATGTAGGGTTGCTATACTCCTGGTGGAAGTTTTATGAATAGACCTGTTAATGTATCTGTTGCACCATTACTATAGTTTACCTTGATCTATGGTTTATCTCCCTTAATAACAGCATGTTTCTTCATTTCTTCAAAAAAAAGGGTAATTTGGGGAGTTTTCGTGGGATCCTGGCATTATTTTGATATGCTTTATTTTTTTTGGTCTTTTTTCTTTTTTATACTAAAAATGTCTTTATTAAATACCACCAAAAGAAAGCACTATCTGTCTCAAAAATGGTACAACATTTATTTAGGTACAGTGCTGCATGACCAAGTAAATGGCATTCAAAAAAATCACAGTGCTGAAAATGGAAATATATCCTGGTAATGTCTGGGTATTACAGGCTGGTAAAGCCATTACTCAGCCAGTTATAACAGCATGATAACATTTTACAACCCTTCCTGACCCTATTCAAGGTGAATGAAATAGCTTTCATGAAACTTGGATAAATCAATTAAAATGCTCATCAGAATTGAGTGACATTGTTGTTAACAATATTTATCTACAGCTTGTTCTGGCCTGAAAATGGCAAAAAGTGCCACCAACTGTCACTAGAAAGTCTTGTGTAGGCAAATGTGGCTAAGAACAAGGAGCAACACACTACATGACAATAATAAATATATTATGTCCAATATAATAACTTATATAGTTACAAATACTTTTATATAAATAGCTTTGCATGGAGAAAATCAAAGCATAGTGCATTGGGCTGATCTAATACTCGTGGCAAAACCACCAATCATGATTTGCAACATTCACTGCAAACACAAACCAGACCACATATATTTGTTGAAAGCTGCAAATAAAATTCACCAATACAACTTAATCTGCCCTTTTTACGTGAAACCACTAATAAATCTTCCAATCTGTTTGCAAATATTACTAGCAGGTTATGTATATATGAAGTTGCTTATATTTTAGGGTTAGTGCTCATTTGAATGGAAAAGATTTTACAAACAGTTATTCCAAATATCTCCCCATCCTTACATGTTGTTGAAGCGGAAGAGATCATCACAGGTGAAGGGTCTCAGGGACGTCATCCTCTGTCTGAACAGAAGGCACACACTGGTATAGTTTTTGAAATTGCACATGTGTGGTGAGAATAGAAGTAGCGTCAGCTCCCTGGCAAACTGCAAATTCACCATGAGTATTGGCATTGCTCAACAGCTGATAGGTGGAGTTTGTGATTCCTTTTCTATTCTGGTCGCTCCCTCTGCTGCCATTCATCAATGACAGCTGTCAGATGGACTGTTATATAAAGATTAGCACTAGCTAAGTGCATGCAGACATTTCTGCCTGCCTGGAAACTTTGTTGGGGGGATTGCCAGTATACATATATAATCGGTATGAATATATATATTTGCTGGAGCCTCATGGCAGCACACGATGGGTTAAGTTCCACCCTCCTTAACTCTATAGGACACTTGGCTAATACATTTAGCTTCCCGAGGCAGGGCTGCATTCTTTTTTCTGTCCTCGCCATGGATACATGACTTAAAGGAGAACTATGAGGTAAGTGATTTTCACTCACCTCATAGTTCTAGCCGACCTGTGACAATGAGACTGTCACAGGTCGGCTCAGTAGATCGGGAGGTGAGCGAACACATACCGGCGTTCGCTCATCTCTCGATCCTGTCACAGCTCTCTGCCGTGACAGGGGAGGGGCTGGATTCCCCCTCCCCGCTCCGATCCGCCAGCGCTGGCTGGCGGATCGGACGGGGGAGGGGGCAGGTACAGCTGACTCTGCTGCCTCTAGATAGGCAGAGCCAGCTGTCACTCACGCAGCTGGGCAGATCCAGACATAATTGTCGGGATCCGCTTCAGCTGCGGCGTCTCAGTATACCGCGAGCTGCAGCTCGCTTCAGCTCGCTGCATACTGTGGCATCTCGGTATACTGAGCTTAGGGCGAAGGGAGGACGCTAGCTTGTGTCCTCCCGTTACCCTAAGGAGAACTATGGGGAAAAGCCTTGACCCCATAGTTCTCCTTTAAGGATCTTTTTTTACTTTTTAACCCTTACTAACCGATTTACTGTGGCTCACCAGTCAGGGTCAGTCTCCCCTGCTCCGAAGACCCTGCTTATATACCTTTAAATAAGGTATCCCCCAGAGTAGCCCACTGGTGTCTGCGTTTGGTAAAAGGGATTTAATTCCCAGCCCTTTGCTAGGATGTCTGACTTCCTCGGGACCCTTTCCCTACCTCTATCTTTGTTCCTTCCTCTGTCCATTCTCGCGTGCTCCCCTTAGGGCCGCCCGGCCATTTAATTCCTGTTTTAATGCTTCTCATCCCCGTGCATGGTCTCGGTGGTAGTGTGCAGGCGCGGTCTATTCCTTCGGAAGCGTGTGTGCAGATTGTTTTTGCCAGATTCTGTCATAGCGGTGGTTTTCTTTTAGCGGTTCTGCGCATGCGCCAGCATTTTGTAAACCCGCGGCCGGTTTATTCGTATCCAGAATTATGGCTGAAGTCTTGATCTGCGGACTTGTCTTCAAAATCCAATTGGTGCCGCATTCCCTACGATGGATTTAATCTTTTTGTGGGAAAGTTGGATAGTGCAATTTCCAAAGTCACAGGCAGCAAGTCAGGGCTCTTACCGTAACAGGAAGATCCGCCATTATAAATTTCAAGGCAAACAGAAAGGCTGCAGGTGATCCATCCAAGGACCCGCGCTCTTACACACCTGCTAAAGAATACCGCAGAGCATGGTGAAGCACGCAATCCACTTTTCTCAGGATAGCCAAACAGGGCACATCTTTTTTCCGCCCAGGAAGCCAGCTTAGGTGGAGGCCCGCCTTCACAATTTTGCCAATGTTTGATAAGATCAGATCAGGGAACCTTAGGTTTCTGCCACTATCAGGCACGGTCACAAATGGTCTTTCATGAGAGGTCTTACATTCTCCCGAGAGAAAGCTACTCTGCTTCTTCAGTACGTAATCTCTCCAGAAGGGAGCTCTCTGTCCGGTTCCACAGGAAGAGCAATATTCCGGTTTTTATCCACCTCTCGTTTTAGTAAAGAAGAAAATGAGAGACCTCAGGGCGGTCTTGGACCTAATAAGATTGAACAAATGTATTCGAGTCCCCACGTTCCACATGGAATCTCTTCAATCGATTGTCCCTACAATTCAACTTTGGGATTGGATGTCCTCAATCAACCTCTCAGATGCATACCTGCATATACCCATCCATCAAAATTTTAAAAAATACCTCCGCTTTGCAATAGTAGACTTCCACTGGCAATTTGTGTGTCTCCCATTTGGTATTTCTACAGCGCCTCAGACCTTGACAACGGTACTTCTTCTACTAATCGCTCTTATCAGACTGAGGCATTCATGCGAACCATTACCTCGACAATATCCTACTCCTGGCCCAGAGTCGTCACACTATCTAGGCACATCAAGATCTTCTGATTTCAACCCTTCAGCAGTTCGGTTGCCCAATACATTTCCAAGATTCAAATCTCATACCGTCCCAGAGACTGATATTTATGGGTGCTCTTCTGGATACCACTCAGAACGCAATAGCCCTTTTGTCAGAAAAGATCTTCACCATTCAACTCAAAGTCCGCAACACAAATATGTGGATGCTAGCGTACAAGTGCCTGAACCATTTAGGATCGCTATCTAATGGTCCATTGTTCACACTGGCAAATGAGGGTCTTCCCGCAAGGTTTCCTGAGTCAATGGGACATGGTAAACCTACACCAGAAAATTGTGATTACTTATTTGATGTAGAAGTCACTGTGGTGGTGGACACACAAGAAAAATCTTCTTCACTATCACCATTTTCAGCCCGAACAGCCTACAATAATAACATCGGATGCAAGCCATTCGGGCTGGGGGGCGTACTATGCAGACCTTGCAGCCCAGGGGGAACGGTCCTTCCAAGCTGACCGACTCCCATCCAATGTGTTGGAAATGAGTGCAGGCTTCAAGGCCCTATTGACCTTCACTCCCCTAATCCACCACAAAACAGTTTGGTTGTGGATGGACAATCGGGCAGAAGTCGTTTATGTACACAACCAGGTGGGAATGCGCAGCTGTTCCTTGATCCAGGAACTCAAACCTATATTGGCATGGGCTTAATCTCAAGTATGGAATTTAACTGCTCTCTACCTGCCTTCAGATTGTTACATAGTTACATAGTATTTATGGTTGAATAAAGACATACGTCCATCAAGTCCAACCCATATAGGTCCACGCATCATCTCATTCTTAGGGATACTGGTATTCCTGGATATTACAGTCCCTCAAGAAATTGTCCAAACGTTTCAAGAAAAAAAACTACACGCAGTGAGTTCCAGACCTTAACCGCTCTTACTGTAAAGAACCCTCTTCGCCCATTGTGCTGGAATTTTTTCTCCACCAACTTTAGGTGGTGACCTCTAGTCTTTGTAATGGAGTTAATCTCAAACAGTTTGTTGCCAATGTTGCTGTCACCATTGAACATCTTGTACATGAAAATCATATCCCCCCTTAATCTCCTTAATTCCAGCGTAAACATGTTTAAGGTCAGAAGCCTTGTCTCATAGCTCTGGTCCTCCATTCCCCTAATTAGTTTTGTTGCCCTCCGCTGGACTCTCTCCAGTTCAAGGACATCCCTTCTCAGTACCGGCGACCAAAACCGGACCGCGTACTCCAGATGTGGCCGAACCAACGATCTATATAGAGGCACAATTAATAGACTTGTCCCTGCAATACATCCCCTTCTTAATACAGGACAAGACCCTGCTAGCTTTGTTTACCGCAGCTTGTCACTGCAAGCTACCATTCAGTTTGTGGTCTACAATGACCCCAAAATCTTTTTCTATTTC